CTCTGTCTCCCATCACTGCTGTCTCTCTCCATCTCTGGGTCTCTGTCTCCCATCACTGCTGTCTCTCTCCATCTCTGCATCTCCCCATGGCTGCTCTGTCTCACCATCTCTGGGTCTCTGTCTTCCCATGGCTGCTGTCTCTTTTCATCTCTGCATCTCCCCATGGCTTGTGTCTCTGTCTCCCCGTCACTGCTGTCTCTCTCCATCTCTGTGTCTCTGTCTCCTCATCACTGCTCTCTCCATCTCTGCATCTCCCCATGGCTGCTGTGTCTCTCTATCTCTACGTCTCTGTCTTCCCATGGCTGCTGTCTCTGTCCATCTCTGTGTGTCTGTCTCCCCATCACTGCTGTCTCTCTCCATCTCTGTGTCTCTGTCTTCCCATGGCTGCTGTCTCTTTTCATCTCTGCATCTCCCCATGGCTTGTGTCTCTGTCTCCCGTCACGGCTGTCTCTCTCCATCTCTGTGTCTCTGTCTCCTCATCACTGCTCTCTCCATCTCTGCATCTCCCCATGGCTACTGTGTCTCTCTATCTCTACATCTCTGTCTTCCCATGGCTGCTGTCTCTTTTCATCTCTGCATCTCCCCATGACTTGTGTCTCTGTCTTCCCATCACTGCTGTCTCTCTCCATCTCTGTGTCTCTGTCTTCCCATGGCTGCTGTCTCTCTCCATCTCTGTGTCTCTGTCTTCCCATCACTGCTGTCTCTCTCCATCTCTGTGTGTCTGTCTCCCCATCACTGCTGTGTCTCTCCATCTCTGTGTCTCTGTCTTCCCATGGCTGCTGTCTCTTTTCATCTCTGCATCTCCCCATGGCTGTGTCTCTGTCTCCTCGTCACTGCTGTCTCTCTCCATCTCTGTGTCTCTGTCTTCCCGTCACTGCTGTCTCTCTCCATCTCTGTGTCTCTGTCTCCCCGTCACTGCTGTCTCTCTCCATCTCTGTGTCTCTGTCTCCTCATCACTGCTCTCTCCATCTCTGCATCTCCTCATGGCTGCTGTGTCTCTCCATCTC